TTGTATTGGTATATATCTTCGTCTTGCCTCGTTATGATGTTACCTGACTGTATGTTATGCTTAAAAAACCCTGCACCGGCGTCAAGAGTTATCGCATTCACACGATTGACACACAAACGGAGGTGGGCGCTGCTGATAATAATGCAGCACTAAAAGCAGAATCTTCTTATCATGAACTCCTTTTATGTCTGTGTTCTTCTCTCCTGTTCTTTTAAAGGGCGAGACTTTTATGTAAGGTTGTCAGTATATCTTAGTGAACAGGAGGAACACAATTCACTGTACGAGGCAGCGACGGTGATTTCTCCTCACAAGTAAATCTGTTTGTTTTCAACTAAACTCCGTACAGCCACAGAGAAATATCGAACGCTTTCAACATGTAAGACTCGTTCTTTTCATTATCAAAATACTCACCAATTATGAAACCAAATGAGTCAGAATCCTTGTGTTATTGGTTAAGTGATGTGATTAAATACGTTTTCACTCTCCTTTTAGGAAGCAACATCTCACGAATAAACATTTGAGAACCCGGGAACTTGGCGGGACACACGGCACAAGTCCATTTACTGACAACTGCTTACGACAACAAATGCATTCACAATTCTCATAACAAAAAAAGTGATCAACAAATAAAAGAGAAAACAAACACATACAGATTTTTTACATTTACACGAAATATTTGTTTGTTTTTGTTTTGTCAATTCATATTCCCTGCACATGAAGGGACACAAGCTGGGAAAGGCAGACTGTCCACTAAAACGCTCGAACTTAAACATTTACGAGTTCAACCCAGTGTGTGAGTCAGGAAGGTGTGGCGTCATGTACCACACACAGCTGGGGAACAACAAGTACTGTGTATCACTTATTTCAGAGAATATATATTGTGTATGAATTATGTTTTAAACAATATTATATCTACAGTAGTGTTGACAAGGAAGTGTTGTACAGTGGAGAGAGAGAGAGAGAGAGAGAGAGATCTTAGCTTCACAAGCACATATCACTTTCTCTCTCCATTTCCTCTATCTCTCTTCAACACATCTCTCTTTCTCACTTCTTACTTTTTTTTTTTCTATCTCTTTATCCTGTTCTCGTCTCTCTCTCTCTCTCTCTCTCTCTCTCTCTCTCTCTCTCTCTCTCTCTCTCTCTCTCTCTCTCCCTAACCCTGGTATCAGCTGGTTATATTGATCGACTACACGGGAGAGAGATAGACCCTGCAGAACCTTAATTAATTTCTGACATATATTACTTTTATTAATATTCTCGTAAATCTGTTTGAAGTTCTCCAGCTACGACAAATAACTATGACCACTAATGTAAACGTACACACACACACACACACACACACGGTGTGTGTGTGTGTTACGGCGGACAACACCTCACCGGACTACTCATCGCTACAAGGCACCCTGTACAGGCTACAGGCATGGACTACGGAGAACAAGGTCACCATCAATCACACCAAAACCGTAGTCATGCACTTCAATACCGCCACCATTCCAGTGAAAGCTCCAGCAGTTACAGTGGGTGCCCATCCTCTCCAGTTAGTGCAGTCTGCCAAACTCCTGGGTGTAACTATAGACCACAAAGTGGACTGTTCCGAAGGCCCATGTAAACAACACTATCAAGGCAGCCTCGTACCGACTCTACATGCTACGACGACTCAGGTCACTTGGGGCACCCACGCCAGAGCTGAGGACTATCTACAACGCATTTATACTCCCAAAATTAATGTATGCGAAACCAGCCCGGTCGTCTTCTCTCAACTCTACCCAACAACGTCGGCTAGAGAAGGTACAGAAAAGGGCCTGCAGAATCATGCTCGGCGCAGACTACTCCGGCTACAACAACGCTGTCTCCACCCTGGAAATGCTATCCCTCAGTGACCTCCACCACTACGCACTAGCAGGGTTTGGTAGTGGACTACTGCATCATCCTCGTCATCGCCACCTTCTGCCACCGGCAGTCCCACGCCCACCTCGTGCAGTCTGCCACTACAACAAAATTCAGCCCATAAGAGCCCGCACTGATAGATATAAGAATAGCACCATCCAATCTATTGTTAAAATAATAAACAGCTCCTGATTTATGTACTGTACAGCTCTGTAAATGTATTGACCGTATATTATTAAGTCTAAATCACATGTAAGTTTGTATATTTTCAGCCACCAGCTGAAACTCTATTAATAAACCGTTTATTATTATTATTATTATTATTATTATTATTATTATTATTATTATTACACACACACACACACACACACACACACACATACGACAAACTGCTAAATTATGTGAAGTGACGGGGGGAGGGGGTGGAGGGGGGTGGGAGGGAGGTGGGAGGGGGGATCAGGATGATATTATGAAGCCTTTATATAGTAGGATATCAACCCAGCAGAATGATTACCTGTGAATGATGGGATAATTAGCGGTGGTCGTGATGCCAGACACCTGTGTTTGTTTAAGTAAAGCTTTTCGTTCCTCCTTCGTACGCTGAACTACGAGTCATCATCCACTCCTTAACTACGTTGTGTAACTTAAGACAAACATTGAATACATACTACTACTCATACCTCATCAAACTGCCTCCTGGACACACCTGTTAGGTTATGCTTCCGGTACTAAGGCCCTATACTCTTTTTTTTGTGAATCAAAACCTGGCCTGACTTGACTTGACCTGACCTGACCTAACCTAACATAACCTCACTTAAAACTCGTCACAGATAAGGCAGCCAAAATTTATGAGAAAATTGTATTCAGATTGTAAGGGTGTTTAAGAATGTTGCTCCGAGACACAATATATAATGTTTACTTCGAGGTGAACGATGCTGAGTTCTCGTATACACCAGACACCATTTTTTTTTTTACATTCTTGTTCCTAAATTCTCAAGGGAGTCTTATGTATGTTTTCCTCCTGACTGACTGGTGTTGATGGAAACTTCTCTCATTGCAAAATCGAAGTCATTACGGCCGCTATTACGTTGTCACAGCCGAAGTGACCCAGTTAGATGCGATCGCACACTTCCAGTTAGGCAAACATTTCCAGGTAAGAGAGTATCATGGTACCGGCCCTGACACCTGTCCTCAGTCCCCGTAACCGGTTTATATTTTGGTTAGGTATGCGACCCCCCTCAGAGGGAGCGACCCCCCTCAGAGGCAGCAGGACATACCGAAATCCACAGGCGGATGTTTACACTAACATACCTTAGCCAGGGCGTGTTATCTTTTGTTTACAGTGTGATGACTAACCTTCACCCCCCCACCACACACACACTTTATAATCTGTACCTAAGATTGTCTAATATTGTTATTCATTTAACTTTCCCCTCTTCCTCCCCCCCCGCGCGGTGCCTTGCCAAATGAGCTCCAAATCCAATAGGTTAGGTTAGGTAAGGTCTGGTCAGGGTATATTAGTTAGTACTGTGGCCAAGTTATCCTGCCCACTCCTCCTTTATCATACTAACAAGAGTCATCTATATCTATCACTAACTTAACACCGAGTACTGTTCATGATGAGGGTTTAAAAATATTAATTAAAACGAATCAAATATGTGTATATAGAACATCAAAAGTGTTGCTGCGAGAAGTTTAATAGAGTTTAATGATATTTTCGTTCATAGTTCGTCACAGTAGAGAAATTCGTACAGTGGCACAGCGACTCACGTGGAGCTGCCAGCCCCTGAGGTCGTTTGTGTGGAGAACCCAGCTGTTGTTTGTTTACCCTTGTGGCCTCTGTTTACCTCCATCATCCCTGATCTAAACATGTGCTATTGTTTGCTCTAAAAAAAGTATAACCTATCGTAACCTTTAATACTGCTTCGTTTAAAATTTACCTTTCCTTTACAGCAACTTTTATGTGTAGATTATAATTTACAAACAACCCAATTTTGCAATATATTTTGTTTTTTTTACAATAGCTTTAATTTACAAGTTTGCCTTTTGTAAATCTTATGCCTGAAACAGACTTTATTACCACTGACTTTTGTTCGTATTTTATGGATCATTTTTATTTTATATCCGTCCCTCACCTGGCTGACTCACCTGGCTGACTCACCTGGCTGATTCATCTGGCTGACTCACCTGGCTGACTCACCTTATAGCACTAATGCCAACAAAGAAGGTACCCTGATGTGGAGACACTTAAACAACACACTCTATAAGGGCGTAGTTCACTGTAAGACACACTCACTACCACACACACACACACACACACACACTCCTACCTACCCATTCATTACCACACCCACATTCATTACCACACCATCTACCACACCCAAACACACCCACTTATGCCACACCCACACACCCATTCCTCACCACACCTACTCACCCACGCTACCAATCCATATCCCCATTTCACTCATACACAAAGACAACTGAACACAACATCTACCCAACACTGTACACACCCAGCCGCCACCCACCTACTGTTCCTTTTTTCTCAAACGTGACGGTAGAGTGTAGTGTGTTTTAAGGTACACACACTGCCTTAAGGTTCAACACCCGTGATGGAGAGGTGTAATATTCACCTTATTGCCGGAGGTCACGCCAGGCCTCGCGGGGTCAGTCAGATACATGCCTTGAATTTTAGACTGTTGTGAATTAAAACTGGTGTTGTGGGAGGTTAAGGAAAGATGAGTTAATGAAATGAGTCAGAAAAATGCACAAATAATATAATATTTTAAATAAATCACACTAGACGTTATTCTACTCTAAGGTAATTAAATAAAAATATATAAGGGTTACGAAATACTATAAGCAATAAAACCTAAAACACACACATATATATATATATATATATATATATATATATATATATATATATATATATATATATATATATATATATATATATATATATATATATATATATTATAGTCTGCTACCTAAATAATTAAAAGTCAAATGTAAGTAAATATAAAATATAAAATAGTGAGGTAAAACAAACTGGGTTGGCGGAACAAGAACCTCATTATAACAGAGTCAACAAGAGCATAGTTTTTTACCTTGAGGTCACACACGGAGAGGCGCTTGAAGAACTTGGCTCGCCCACACTTGACCATGGACCGGTCCACACTCAGCTGGCTGGTCCTCTTGCTCGAGGTGACGGACCGAATGTCTTCATTATCCACCAGAGAGACACCCTCGGCCTCCCCATCCTCCCCGAGGTCGGTATCCACCTCGAACTCGCTCTTTTCGTCCGCCCTTGAGTCGTCCTTGTACGCCAGGTCCTCCCTGAAGGCGCCATTGTGTTCGCCCTCCTCCCAGTCCTCGATGGTGAAGGTGGGATACCTATCCCTAGAGGGGCGTCTCTCCCTATCCCTTTCATCCTTGTCTTTATCCACGACCAGGGAAGACCTGGACGTCAGCCTCGTGAGCGAGATCTTTTTCTTCAAGGCCCGAGCAATTGCATTAGCCTTCGAGTTATTGCTCGAGAAACTGTCCTTGAGTTTGATCTCCTCCACGTCGGCCTCCACGCCCCTGATGGCCGGCATGTTGCCTGCGAGGCTCACACACACGGTTTATATTTGTTCTCTTAGTTATTGTTCATGTTATTATCATCTTTCACTTGTCTTACATACCATTAGATAATATCTGGATTATTTCCTGTTCTCTCTCCTTTTCTGTTATTGTTTTGCTGTTATTTTCATGTTTTCTTTTTCCATATGTTCACAAAATATAATCTAGAAAACCTCGTTCCTATACTAGTGTTTATCTGGTACTTTCATCTTCTTCTTGTTCCACATACTCTCCTGTTTCCTCTATCTTTGTTTCTCTTTACCTGTAACTTTTCCTCTTTTATTGTTCCACATACGCAATACTAAATAACTTTCCAGACAGTCTCCACATACCGTCTCCATACTTCCAGTGTCTCCTCGTCTTAGTGTTAATTATCTTAATAAGCCAAGAGGTTCCATCCTGGGGTGTAGGGGGGGGGGCAGCAAGATGGAGAGGGGTGGAGGAAGTGGTAGTAGTGCTGGTCCTTGAGGTGAGTTAGGTCACGACAGGTGAAGGAGAGCACTCACAGGTGAACCACCCTCAAGGCTCATCCCCTGACCCACCTCTGCCACCTGCACCTTTACAAATCAGGAACGTGTGCCGGGCATAGTGCAGCACCACCCCGGTGTCTCTGTCCTCAACTTCACCTCACCTACGGAATCTTCGTTGCCTCAACTACTGAATATTTTAATCATAAGTCATTTCTATTCACTTTTCTACTTGCATTAATTCATCACTGTCCATTTTCTTGTGTACATTAAATCGTTTAATCCACTTAGTTTTAATATTTTATATAAATTTCACCTAATCTCCTGTGTTTATTAGATAAAAACTAAAGAAAAGAAGGTTAATACATTATTTAAAGTCATAGTATTTCGTAATTCTTGTAACTCACCACATAACCTAAAAAAAACGATGCAAACAAACACCAAACAAACAACTAAGTTCACGGGTCAATACAACCAACTATCTATTGTGCTATTTACGTTGTGTTTGGTGGTCAGACTCCAGAGTTTGACCGAATTGTTCTGTGCCTGGAGGTAGAATCTGGCATGTTAACTCGAGTTTAATATATCGCGTGGTACTGGAGAGCTCTCGTCAGGTCTCTTCACTTACCAGCCCACCTTAATTGATCGCCCCATCCAGTACCTCCTTCACCCAACCAGTTTCTCCGTCATCCATACTTGTCTTCCTCCTACATCTGCCATACATCAGTTACTTACATCCACTAATATACACCACTTCCATATATCACTTATTCTTCTCCTTGTGTTTGCATAATCATTCTCGTAAGCTGTTTCATCCATTCACTGATATCGTCTAAAACTGATTCTTGTTATCTTACCTTACATTCTTCTATGTCCTCATGCCTACTTCTCCATTCAACACACCGCATCTACAAGTTCCTCACTTACTCTCTCTCGTCTTTTACTTACTAATTCAATCTTTTTTCTTCCTCCCTTCTTCCCTCATAAATTTAAATTCCTCTTCCAGTACTCATCAAATCTTTCATTCTCCACCACCACCACTATCGTCACTATCACCACCCTTGTCACTACCACCATCAACCACTACTCCTTCGTCACAACATATAAACCCCCTCCCCCCCAGCCTCGTCCCATCGTAACCTTTGGAGAAAAACATAAAAATCCACCAAGTTAGGACACAATCATCTCCTACTGAGCTAAACAAACCTTCTCTACTCATTCGGAAAAGAGAGAAATGCAAGTCACGGTGATAAGGCTTTTTTGGACAGGTTATCGGGAAGAAATTTTATTAGGATATGCGAATAAAACAAAACAAAACGTGGTAATATGTAGTCGTAAAGCCTCCTTAGAGTATACGTGTCAGGTAAGAAGGTTTCATTCAAGCTGACATCCATTCATCTTTGGCGTGCGTGCTTAAGTCCGCGACTCCCCTTGTGTATTTACGGCTCTCCAAACTCACATGGGCCGCCAGATCCACATGGCTGCTTTTCACGTCCACAGCTCCTCGAGAACCTCTGACATAACCCACAAACCCTCGCCTCACCTCACGTTCCTTACCCGACGAGTGTTATTTATGTACCACGAACATCACGTCCATGAAACAGAAGCCTCAAACTTATATCCCAGATGATAAACCTTCAAACATCAAACACTCTTACAGATTAATAACTCAATTCACCTCAGTTAAATCACCAATTCCATTTAAAACCATCCATTAACTTTCTACTTTACAAGCACCATAAACTTATAATGCGGTTCTTAATTTCATATTTTGCTTTGTAATTGAATATCGGATAAATAAAATATATTTATTACTATTAACTAATAATAGATATATAACAATAGCTTTTAAGTTCTTTTCAAGCTATTTTCCTATATTTCTTACAATATGATGCGAGGAGAGAGAGAGAGAGAGAGAGAGAGAGAGAGAGAGAGATAAAATAAAAGATAAATAATGAACGTGGACGAGGAAAAAGTGGTCAGCTGAGAGGAAACGCGGAGGAATCTACACAGCAGGAAACACCGCTCCTTGACCCGGATATGAGAACAACTAAATCAAGGTTGGGTAGTCGACAACGGCCAAGGAAGTATGTGGTTTTTGGGAGGAAGTAATAATGAAGAGAGAGAGAGAGAGAGAGAGAGAGAGAGAGAGAGAGAGAGAGACCATCTAAATCAAATAAAAATAACACAACCTTCAATAAAATACTTGAATTTTTAACTCCATCTTTCTAAAATTATTTACATACATAATATTAAAGTAATTTTGAGTTATATACCGTTTTATACATATTTTTTTAGAAACAGTAATTGTGTCGAAAATAAAATCAGTTGCTCTAAAATCCTCTTACAGTAACAGCGAGATAAAGTGACGCTTTTTTGCAATATTTTGTTTAGTTATTTGACAACAATTACATTTATAACCCTTTTATATTTAACTGTGATATGTAAGGTGGACATTTTATATTCTGGTATGGGATAAAACACAGTGACTCGTGTATGCGTTACACTGTTAACTTTAGAGGAAAAAATAGAATTGTAAATAAACACTATATTCGTGTTTCTATAATTCAGTTTTTGTACACACACACACACACACACACACACACGTACACACACACACACACACACACACAAATATAATTTTTAATAAGCACTTTGCAATATGAGCGAAATATCTATTCAAATTTATTACACAGTCAACTTTATCTAGCGAAATTTTTAGTCATATTAAATTATCAACACTTTCATGTTTAAACTTCTGAATGACACTTCCTCACACAGTACACCCCAGAGACGTGTGTGTGTATAGATATATAACGTGTGTGTGTGTCTGCCAGGTGGGAGGTGTTAGGAGTGGGGGTGTGGCCTCTCCCACGCCGACACGCTCCGTCACGTTACGAGTCCATTACATTAATGACAAGCAAAGTAATTAGGTAATTACCCGGCAGGCTTAATGGTGCAGGTCTAGAGGTCATGTTGCTTATTGTGCACACACACACACACACACACACACACACCAGTGATGTAGGCGAGACCACTACTGTCACAGCCTTTTGAAGCCGAGGCCAAGATTGAAACTGAAGCCATTAGTAATTTTTGCATATATGAACCACCTAAAGATTACCCCAACCCTCAGGTAGCGTCGGAACGGTTAAACTTCAGGTGAGATAAATTAGAGGATATGAATCGCACACAGGCAGACAGACGTACAGTGAGACGAGACACAAACACATGCTTACACTAATAGCACATATACTGTACATTCATATAGACATAGACAGTCTGAATCAAAGAACTGGAGGGACGTCTCTCTCTCTCTCTCTCTCTCTCTCTCTCTCTCTCTCTCTCTCTCTCTCTCTCTCTCTCTCATACATATTAAAAATGACTCGGCACTCTTGGTAGATACCTCACCTGCTGAGTCCTGTATACGCCTTTATACCTCCTATATCTCCTTATTAATTCTGAAGGAAAATTTGTGACAGACAGACAGACAGACAGAAAAATAAATAAATAAATTCGAGAAAATAAAAACAATACTCGTAAAACTCAAACGTGTGAATAACGTAGACAATAAAAAAAATAATAACTGGAAAAAAATCACAAAATCACCAAGGACTACAGCGGCCTCCTTGACCCTGACCACCACCGTCACTCTCCATCAAAGTTCAGGGCGGTATACAAGTCTCTGTGTGTCAGGGAGGGAGGGAGGGAGGGAGGCAATCCGCTTAAGTGGCAGACGGATAATTGAACACAGCGTTTGATGCATTCGTTACCGGCCGTCCGGATAACGTTGCAAAGCCTGGGTATTACGGACCCGGAATGGTTAAAAGAGTTAGCGCTCCGGGTTTGCTATTTATGAAAAAAAAAAGCGGGGGAATTGAAATATCCAGGAAGAATAAGACTCAGAAACGTTCGTCCCTCACTCACTAAAAGCAACGTCAGGCGGTGCTTATGTATACTCATATTGACTGAATGACAGGTTCACTCACTCACTCATCAAACACTCACACACTCACTCACCTACTCACACAATTACTCCACTCACTCACTCACTCATTAAACACTCACACACTCACTCACCTACTCACACACTTACTCCACTCACTCACTCACTCATCTGACCAGCCAACGTTGATATACGCGTATGCTATCATTAAACTCCTGATGGCTCTTCCTTTTATCAGTAACTGGGAAAGAGAGGTGGCTAGTTACGGTAGTCTCAGTAGTTGGGCTCTGTTCCTGACGGCCAACACCTGTGTGGCCTAGTTATAGTGAGTTTGTTTTCCCTTTGAGGACCAGGGAGTTAGATAGACGTCATCACAGGGCTAAACCTCTCCCTCAAAAAGGTTAAAACATTATCCACAAAAGGGTTAAATCTCGTCCTCAAAAAAGTTCAAATGATGTTCTTAAAATGGCTAAACCACCATCGTCACTAGGGTTAAACCATTGTATTCAGTTGTTAAACCATAATCCTTAAAAGGCTAAACCATTCTCTTCAAAGAGTTAAACCATACCCTTCAGAGAGTTAGACCATACACATCAAAGAGTTAAACCATACCCTTCAGATAGTTAGACCATACACATCAAAGAGTTAAACCATCGACCTCAGAGGGCTAAATTTATTCACATGTCCACATATTTGGGAAAGAGAAAATGATTATACCCTGTTTGTGTGTGTGTGTGTGTGTGTGTGAGTGTGTGTTTTGTGTACTTCAACGACCAAGTTTTGTAAGCAACACATTCCTAAGTCTTAGTTCATGCACTAGACAACACCTTTAAAAGTTATTTAGAGGTTGGAGAGTCGGCCGGCAGGGGGGAGGGGGCGAGGGGATGGTTGACAGAGGGTTGGGGAGTAGGATGAAGATAGGGGACAGAAGGGAAAGACAGGTAGGTGGGAAAGGATAGGGGATGGTGGAGGGGAAAGGGGATGGTGGAGGGAGTCGATACACTTGATTATGTGAACAAAAAAGAAAAAGAAAAAAGTGATTGTGGTAAAACAGTGTTCGTTACTGAGCTGCCATTGTTGTTATTGTGTGCTACTGCTGTTGTCATGACGCTACAGTACTTTTGTTGAAGCTGCTTTTGTTATTGTGCTACTGTTGTTTTGCTGAGCTACTGCTGTTGTAATTGTATTACTGATGTTGTTACTGTGATACTGTTGTTGTTACTATGTTACTGTTGTTTGTTGTTACTGCGTTACTGTTGTTGTTACTGTGCTACTGTTGTTGCTACTGTGCTACTGTTGTTGTTACTGTGTTACTGTTGTTGTTATTACTGCATCACTGCCGTTGTTATTGTGTTATTGATGTTGTTACTGTGTTACTGCTGTTGTTACTGATGTTGTTATTGAGCTACTGTTGTTGTTACCATGATAATTTACCTCTCCCACTTTCATATGTTCTCATTCTCCCTAAATCAATAACGACTCCAAGAACAACGG